TAAAGGTAGAATAAAAGAAATAAAGATAGCAGTAGAAAATAATTAAATGGAAAAAACAATAAAATAGAGAAAAACATAGTTAAAATGTTGCTCTTTGAAAGCAATTATAAAACAGACAAATCTCTAGCAAGAAATTTCAAGAAAAACATTAGAAGACAAGAACAAAATGTACATTTAGGAGCCTACCATAATTATAGATTCTGCAGAAATTTTAAAATAAAAGAATAGTTTCCTCCCAATAAATATGAGAACACAGAAGAAATGTATACAAACTACTAAAATAAATTAAAAAATGAAAGGGCTGGGCAAGGTGGCTCACACCTATAATTCCAGCACTTTAGGAGGCCAAGGAGGGTGGATTACCTGAGGTCAGGAGTTTGAGACCAGCCTGGCCAACGTGGTGAAACACTGTCTGTAATAAAAATACAAAAACTAATTGGGCATGGTGGTGCACGCCTGTATGCACCACCACTCAGGAGGCTGAGGCATGAGAATCACTTGAACCCAGGAGGCAGAGGTTGCGGTGAGCCGAGATCGCGCCACTGCACTCTAGCTTGGACAACAGAGCAAGACTCTGTCTCAAAAAAAAAAAAAAAAAAAAAGCATTCTTCACTCATTTCACAAGACTGTTACAACTTTGACGCTAGAACCAGGCAAAGGTAGTTTTTTTGTTTGTTTGTTTTGAGATGGAGTCTTGCTCTGTTGCCCAGGCTGGACTGCAATGTCACGATCTCAGCTCACTGCAACCTCTGTCTTCCAGGTTCAAGCGATTCTCCTGCCTCAGCCTCCTGAGTAACTGCGATTACAGGTGCATGCTACCATGTCCCGCTAATTTTTGTGTTTTTAGTAGAGACGGGCTTTCACCCTGTTGGCCAGGCTGGTCTCGAACTCCTGACCTCAGGAGATCTGCCCGCCTTGGCCTCCCATAACGCTGGGATTACAGATGTGAGCCATTGTACCTGGCCTGCTTTTCTTTTTCTAACTTCATTCACCGGACATAACTTTCCTCTAAAAGCAGATTTATCTTCATCCTACTAGTGTATGTTATGAATCTATGTCAAAAAGGTATCTTGAAGAAGGTTCTGTTCTGGAATCTAGGTCATTTAACTCATAGTCTATAAATTTTAATAGTAGTGACAAATTATGAGAATAGAAGATATTTGAAACTGAAAACATAAGTGATATGTAAAAAGAGGCATATAGAGATAATTTGGCAAAATAGAAAGAAGACAAAAGAGTTCTATCATGAAATCAAGAAGAGGCATTTCAAAGAAAGGCTGATATTCAATATTATCAAATAATTTCAAGGTTAAAGAAAATGTTAAGCAAAAATATATTTGATCATTGAAAAGTTATTAACCACATACATTGCTGGTGAGAATATGAAAAGTTGGATAAATATTTGACAGTTTAGTAAAAAGTCAAGGACCAGGTGCGGTGACTCCTGCCTATAATCCCAGCACTTTGGGGGTCGACAAGGGCAGATCACCTGAGGTCAGGAGTTGGAGACCAGCCTGGCCAACATGGTGAAACACTGTCTCTATCAAAACTACAAAAATTAGCTAGGCGTGGTGGCATGCACCTGTGATCCGACCTACTTGGGAGACTGAGACAGGAGAATCACTCAAACCTGGGAGGCGGAGGTTGCAATAAGCTGAGATCGCATCACTGTACTCTAGCCTGGGTGATAAGACTGAAACTCTAAAAAGTTAAACATACATCTTCTCTATGTTCCAGCAATTCCATTCTTAAATATTTATTTTAGAGAAATACAATCATTTATCTATAAAATGTGCCGTGTAAGAAAGTTGATAGCATTTATTTACAATAATCAAAACCTGGAAACAACATAAATGCCCATTAACAAGAGAAAGGATAAGTTGGGGTCTATTCATACAATGGACTACCACTCAGCAATAAAAAGAAATGAATTGTGGCCAAGTGTGATAGCCCACGCCTATAATCCCAGCACTTGGGGAGGCTGAGGCAGGTGGATCACCTGAGGCCAGGATTTTGAGACCAGCCTGGCCAACATGGTGAAACTCCATCTCTACTAAAAATACAACAATTAGCTGGGCATGGTGGCACACACCTGTAGGCCCAGCTACTTGGGAGGCTGAGGCAGGAGAGTCGCTTGAACCTGGAAGGCGGAGGTTGCAGTGAGCTGAGGTCACGCCATTGCACTCCAGCCTGGGCAACAGAGTGAGACTCTGTCTCAAAAAAAAAAAAAAAGAATTGAAATATGTAACATGTCAACCTCATATAATTTATGCTGAATTTAAAAAGCCAAGCAGAAGAGCATACACTGTATGATTCCACTTATATGTAATGTTAAAATATAAAAAACTAAATTTTAGTATTAGAAATCTGATCAAGGCCGGGCACAGTGTCTCATGCCTGTAATCCCAGCACTTTGGGAGGCTGAGGTGGGTGAATCACAAGGTCAGGAGTTTGAGACCAGCCTGGCTAACATGGTGAAACCCCGTGCCTACTGAAAGTACAAAAAAAATTAGCCAGGCGTGGTGGCACATGCCTGTAATCTCAGCTACTCGGGAGGCTGAGGCAGAAGAATTGCTTGAACCCAGGAGGTGGAGGTTGCAGTGAGCCAAGATTGTGCCATTGCACTCCAGCCTGGGCAACAGAGTGAGACTCCATCTCAAAAAAAAAAAAAAAAAAGAAAGAAAGAAATTAGATCAAAAGTTGTTTCTGGTGGGAGGTTTGACTGGGAAGGGGGAATAGGGATCTTTCTGGGGATTGATGAAAATGTTCTGTATCTTGATAAGAATTTTTTTATATGGATTGAAGTGTTTACTTCAGACATAAGGATTTAACTATATGTAAATTATAAATTTTATACAGGTGACCATTCTGCTATGCTTTCGAAGTTTATGTTTCAACTTTTTATTATTTATTTATTTTTGAGATGGAGTTTCACTTTTCTTGCCCACGCTGGAATGCAATGGCGTGATCTCCACTCATTGCAACCTCTGCCTCCTGAGTTCAAGCGATTCTCCTGCTTCAGCCTCCCAAGTTGCTAGGATTACAGGCATGTGCTACCACACCTGGTTCATTTTGTTTCTTTAGTAGAGATGGGGTTTCACCATGCTGATCAGGCCGGTCTCAAACTCCTGACCTCGGGTGATCCACCCACCTCAGCCTCCCAAAGTGCTGGGAATATAGGCGTGAGCCACCATGCCCAGCCTCAACTTTTTATTTTTTAATAATAATTATTATTTTTTTAAATGCTAGTCAAGTGATGCAGTGAAAGTGGAGAAGAAACAAATTTGTGATTAAGGTTTTCAAAATAAAAAGTTGAGGCCGGGAGCGGTGGCTCACACCAGTAATCCTAACACTTTGGGAGGCCAAGGTGGGAGGATCACTTAAATCCAGGAGTTTGAAACAGCCTGGGCAACATGGTGAAACCCTGTCTCTACAAAAGATACAAAAATTAGCCGGGGGTAGTGGTGTGCCCATGGTCCTAGCTACTTGGGAGGCTGAGGTAGGAAGATTGTTTGGGCTGGGAGGTGAAGGTTGCAGTGAGCTGTGATCATGCCACTGAACTCTACTAGCCTGGGCAACACAGTGAGACCCTGTCTCAAAAAAAAAAAAAAAAAGCAAGGAAAAAATTTTTTTTAATTCCTTGTTCAGTTTCCTTGGTATTAGTCTTGGTAAAGTCTAAGACTAAGACAGTATTGGCAAAGTGTATAGGAGTTAGATAATGTGATATAAATAAATATATGCTTAGCAAAAGAAGAAAAGTGGCTTGGAAAACATCTGGGAGGCCTGAGCACTGTCACAGGGAGAGAGGAAGTAATCAGTTGGAAGGAAAAGAAAGATATTAAAATTGGTAAAGATATTAAAATTGGTAATGGGTTCAGAGACAGGATGCGAAAGGATTAAGAAGACAGGTGCTTGGAACTAAACTCAATGTTACAAGGTTGGTCCAACCAGGTTGGAATACTCTTTGCTAAAATTACTAGGATATATCATATGGTTCTTAATTATGTTTCTTAATGAAGTGCTGTTTTTGGGGGGGTATGTGTTTATCAGCTGTTTAGATTCAAACTCAGCTTAGTCGGCTGTTTAGATACAAAAAATTTACCATCTTTCACTTTATGAGTTTACAAAATACACTCATATACCTGATCTATCAGGTATATGAGTTCATAAAGAGCACTAAAACATTTTTCATTGGGAATGTAATAAAGAAAAAAGATATATTTAATAGAATTCCTCTGGTAGAAGAGTTCAGCATGTGGCTGGAACTGGTACTTTGATATGTGGCCTTTTGTGAGTGATTACTGCACCTCCCTCCTTCTCCACTCCCCTCTAAGGGTATACAACATTACCACGTTATAAGGAAGTTGGATTCAAGTAAGTGCAGGGATTTCTTTTTAATGAGGATATATAAAGCTAGACCAGAGCAGAAATGATCACAACAGTGAAGAGAGACATGCCCTTTCTACCCTTTACCACTCAGCCATTCCTTTGAACATATATTGAATGATTATTAGGGAGTATAGATTAGAAAAAATGCCAAATTAATAATCTGGTCTGGTAAGACAAAGTAGCACCCTATTTCAGAATTATTTCCATTGCAACTAATAGAAATCTCAAGTCAAACAACTTAAAACCTTACAAGAAAGGCATTGGCTCAAGAAAACTGGCCAGTACAGAGGAAGAGTGAGTATCAAAGTCAATGCTGAGATTTTGTGTGTGTGATCTTTCTGCTCACAAGAAGGGTTGGTTCTCAGGTTGGCTCTTCACTGTAGCAAAATGGCGAGTGTTCCACATGCCAGAAAGTCTTATCTTTAATCAGTGAATAAATGTCCCAGGCTTCCCTCTGATTGGCCTACCTTAGGGCATGGGTCCACACTTGATCTACTTGGCAAAGCCTATAAATGCTCAGTACTAATTAGATTTATATGCCCAGGTGTGATCTAATACTGTAGCCAGAATGACTTTAACAGTCCTTAATGGCTCAGGCCAGTCTAGGGCAACACCTAGAACTCTTTGCAGTCAAACCTACCCAACCCACCCAGGAGCTGCTACACATTGAGGAAGGGGCAGAATGAATGCTGAGAAGCAACTACAACGAACACTGAAGGTAAGTTTCAGTGGGGCTTTGCTTTGCTTCTCTTACTGTTTTGTGTTTATGTTGGTCCCCTTTACGGGTGTAAGCTCCTCCGTGGCAGGGCCGTATTGTACTCTATTCATCTATTCCCTGAAAACTCCTTGCACAGTGACATTCACTTAATGTCTACTAAACAATGTTAAATTCTACTGAGGTGTAAATCAAGGTCTACGACAAATAAATCAAGAGTAAGAATAACCCAAGCTAAGCTCACAAAGTTAATGGTGGACAGATTTAGAACCTGGACATCGTTCATTCCTTCCTTTATTCATTAAACAAATACAAGGCCAACTATTTGTTAGGCATTTATCAGCCATTATAGTCTAGTGGGTTTACAATTTTTTAATAAAAAATTTTAAAACAATTATTTATCTTTATTTTTTGAGACAAAGTTTCACTCTTGTTGCCCAGGCTGGAGAGCAATGGCGCCATCTCAGCTAACTGCAACCTCCGCCTCCTGGGTTCAAGCAATTCTCCCGTCTCAGCCTCCCGAGTAGCTGGGATTATAGGCATGTGCCACCACACCCGGCTAATTTTTTTTTTTTTTTTTGAGATGAAGTTTCGCTCTTGTTGCCCAGGCTGGAGTGCAATGGCGCTATCTCCGCTCCCTGCAACCTGTGCCTCCCAGGTTGAAGCAATTCTCCTGCCTTAGCCTCCTGAGTAGCTGGATCACAGGCAAGCACCACTACGCCTGGCTAATTTTGTATTTTTAGTGGAGATCGGGTTTCTCCATGTTGGTCAGGTTGGTCTCCAACTCCTGACCTCAGGTGATCTGCCCGCCTCGGCCTCCCAAAGTGCTGGAATTTCGGGCGAGCCACGGCTCCTGGCCTAATTTTTGCATTTTTAGTAGAGACGAGGGTTTCACCATGTTGGCCAGGCTGCTCTCGAACTCCTGACCTCAAGTGATTCACCTGCCTCGGCTTCCTAAACTGCTGGGATTACAGGCATGAGCCACTGCACCCGGCCAAAACAATATGTGTGTGTGTGTATATATACACAGATATGTATATCAAATAAACAATCACACAAATACCTACATAATTACCATGGAGACATCTCAGGAAGAAGTAGTTCAGGTTCCTAGGAGAGGTCATAACAGGGGACTCTGAATTAAAATGTGGGATGTGAGTGAGGATGGTCTTCCTGAGGAAGTGGCACTTAAAGTGAAACCTGAAGGATGAACAGGAGTTAGGAACAAAGAGAGTGGGAAATTATTCTTGGTTCAAGAATCAACATTTAGAGGCCTTAAAACTTAACGGGAGGCCGGGTGCGGTGGCTCACGCCTGTAATTCGAGCACTTTGGGAGGCCAAGGCGGGTGGATCACCTGAGGTCGGGAGTTCGAGACCAGCCTGACTAACAAGGAGAAACCCCATTTCTACCAAAAGTACAATCCCAGCTACTCGGGAGGCTGAGGTAGGAGAATCGCTTGAACCCGGGAGGCAGACATTGCGCCAAGATCGTGCCATTGCACTCCAGCCTGGGCAACAAGAGCAAAATTCCGTCTCAAAAAAACAAAACCAACTTGCGGGGTACGGGGGCAGGGGAGTGGAAGGAAGACCTGGAAGTGCAGTGCGGATGAAATGAGGGGTAGTGGGAAGAGGCAGTAGGTAGGAAGCTGATTAAATAGGGCCTTAAAAGTTACATTGTTTTAAAGACCTTTCGTGGGTGGGTTCTACCCAATTCTTCGAGGAAATTGAACCCTGGACACCATCCAGCGATTTTTCTGACAGTCTTGAATCAGCATCTTCCTTCATCCTTTATCAGCACATTACGTGGGGGGGGGCCATCAAGCTTCTATCTACTTATTCTGCCTTGGTGTTTGACTCCTTCCTAGCTATCAGATTTCCCTGACTTTTTAGCATGGCCCTTCTGAGCGCTCTTATTTCACTTCTCCTCCAACCCTAACTCTCCCAACTCTGCAGTCCGTGACCTTCAGGTGCCCTTGAAAGTCAGAAAAACTCGGCAAGGTTGGTACTTGGAGAACATTAGCAATTCAAAAAGGTGTCACACAACCTCACCATTAGATGGGAACAATAGCTTACCCATATTTAGATAATTCCGCCACAACTACTCTGGGGGATGGTTTTATTTGAGGCGGCTTTTTCGTCCATAGCCACCGCGTGAAGGGCAACGTAAGAATCTTCCCGAATGCTCCTGACACGCGTCCCGGCCGCCTCTTCTTCCTCCCCGCCACTTCCCCAGGCCAGGCCCGCGGATAACGCCTCAGTTGCGACCCAGCTCTAGGCAAGTCCGCAGGGGCCTCCGCCGGGGAGGGAAGGCACGACGCGGGGCCAGGCCGCTGGGTAGCACGCCCGG